AGGGAATTTGTCTCCTTAACTGCGTTGTTGTTCTCGTTTGCTGAATATGTATGACCAATCATAGCCATCTGCAGGCGGCAAGAAGTAATGCTGCAATCTTTAATAAGAAAATACACCAGAATCCATTTTGAAATGGTTTTTTTCACTGTTCTGAAGCCATATAATTTTACAGTTGTGGATTAATAACAGGATAAACTACTTTTATGTAATAGTGTTTAATTTTTAATTTTAATAATTTAGCGATTATGAAAAGATGAAATTGTTTATTAGAATAAAAAATAACTAATTAAAAATTTGTTTGCAAACTTTTAAAAGTTGAAATCGTAATTTATTAGAATGTTCACTTCAAAATAGCTAAACAGATCAGTAAAAATCTGTAATTTAATCGTTTTTCAGTTTAAAACATAAAAAATTATAAATAGTTACCCGACGTTTACAGTAAAATACTGGCGCTGACTTGTTGTTGGCACAAGCTTTTTATATTTGTTGTTACGATTTTCCTTGAATGTACTGTACTGCAAGCATATTTTCCCTCTCTCTTCCGTTTTTTTCCGCAACTTCGATACATAGTTTAATAATTAGTTAACTGAAATGACATTGGGTAACAAATATCACTGATTTTGGCAAATTTAGGGCTTAAAAACTGGCAAGATTGATCATGCTTGTAATAAATATTCTGTAGTTATATTTTCGAAAATCAACAGGTAATCCGATAGTTTAACCAATGTTAACTTGCTTATAATTAAAATTTAAAAATTAAAATAAATTTGATTATCTTTTGTGCGAAACAACAACAAAACAATTTTTATACATAATTTGAAGTTTAGACTATTTACAAAAAGTCAAATTAACTTTTGAGTCCATCTTTATCCTTTATACACTACCACAGAAGTAACAGTCTTAAAAAATTGCTTTGAAGAACTCTTCTTAAACACAGGTAAAAATTGGTAAAAAACTTCACAGGGTTAAAAAAGATCAGGTGTCAGCCTTTTCTTGTAGGTTTCTGACACTTTTACAATTAAATTCACCCTTATCATTTTTATCCACCTTTTTAAACTGCTTCTGGCCCTCTAGTGGTAGTTACGAGTATCTATCTTATTTGCATATGGTTACAATTTTTGTGATAATTCGGGATGTATTTTCTTCATAATTCGAAGTTTAGACTATTTACAAAAAGCCAAATTAAGTTTATTTACCTGTGTTTAAGAAGAGTTCTTCAAAGCAATTTTTTAAGACTGTTACTTCTGTGGTAGTGTATAAAGGATAAAGATGGACTCAAAAGTTAATTTGACTTTTTGTAAATAGTCTAAACTTCGAATTATCCCACTCAAACT